CTTGAAATCATAACAAAGGGGAATAGGGATAATTCAGCAAAATGACGAAGGAAGAGGAAAAGCAGAGACGATGCAGATAGAAAAATTCTTAATAGATCAAAATGTTTTAGTCAGAAGTAGGAGGGAATCCTTTTGTCTCCTTTTCTTTGGTAACAAGAATTATAAAGCCTGAAAGAGATTAAAACAGAATCCCAGAAGGTTAGAAAAAGTATAAGGTAAAAAAAATAGGGGTGCCTGGGTGGCTCAGTCGTTAAGCGTCTGCCTTCAGCTCAGGTCATGGTCCCGGGGTCCTGGGATCGAGCCCCGCATCGGGCTCCCTGCTCCGCGGGAAGCCTGCTTCTCCCTCTCCCACTCCCCTGCTTGTGTTCCCTCTCTTGCTGTGTCTCTCTCTGTCAAACAAATAAAATCTTTAAAATACATATATATAAAATGTGTTCTTTTGACCCATAAAATTATGGTTTCTAACTTCTGTTCCTTTCTTTTTATCCCTTCTGTATTTGGGGAATAGTATCACTTCAAGGAAGGGGTAGTTTTTCATTAATTGCAACAGAAACCATACAAGGGTGATTATGAGTATACCTTTTCAGCCAGGGTGGAGGTGCTCATATCTTTACCAGTTTCACTGAGTTAAAATCACGTATGCTGTGATCAAACACTCAACCTTTAGATAAATATTAGGAAATAAAGGAAAACTAGTGGAGGTTTATCTTATCAATAAATGTTTGAAGTAATTTTCTCTTAAAGGTGTTTAACAGTGGGGTGCCTGGGTGACTCAGTCGGTTAAGCGACTGCCTTCGGCTCAGGTCGTGATCCCAGAACCCTGGGATCAAGCCCCTCGTTGGGCTCCCTGCTCAGCGGGGAGTCTGCTTCTCCCTCTCCCTCTGCCTGCCACTCCCCCTGCTTGTGCTCTCTTTCTCTCTGACAAAATCTTAAAAAAAAAAAAAAGTGTTTAACAATAATGAAAATTTGTGTAATAATTGGTTTGTACTTGGAAGAGTCGAGAAAAGAACAGGGGGTTAAGCTGCAGAAGTGCTATGTTTCAGTCATCAGTCCACCTGCTGGTCATTACATCAGCAATCCCATGACCAGCCTCTTCACTCTTACTGGAACTTCCTTGGAAAGCCGGTCAGTTGTAGTCATGGCTGACTCCTCCTTGCAGCCTCAGTTCTGTGTTTCCATGAGGGATTATGGAAATAATTATTTTGGACATTTTCAGCCAACTCCACACACCGAACTTTTCGTCCATATTATTTTCAGCCACCACCAAGCATTTAAGACCCTCCAGTCATCCATTATTTCTTGTTGTGACCTTCATACTTGTTTGTGTGTGTGTGTGTGTGTGTGTTCATTCCTTTATCAGTTTTCATTCCTGTATCAGTTAGGATCCTCTATGAAGTAAATAACATGAAACTGTCTTCAAACTGGCTTAAACATAACGGAAGTAGCTCTGGGTCAGGTTTCAGAATTAACTGATGCAGGGGTTCAGGGATATCAGTAAATATTTGCTTTCCTTCCTATTCTTCTGTTCACAGTGTTTGTTTCATCCTAAGTCAGGTTCTTCTCTTTGTCCTAAGGTGGATACCAGCTACTGTCCAGGACATAAGCTTGCTCACTTACACACATTGGGAACAGGAGTTCTGAGGGTAAAGACAGCTACCTTCACAGATCATGGACTGGGGCAGGGGGTTGGTGGTGCATGGGTACCGGGAAGAAAAATGTATACATAGTTAGACAGAAGCAGCGAATGGCTGGACAACCAACACCTATCTAGCTATCTATTCTACTCTTAGATTTCTCCCTCATTTTTTCTGGAACCCTTGTCCCATAATAAACTCCTCCACTTTTTCATACTCTCCAGATTGTCTTTTCTTCTATTAACCTTTACTGGAATCCATTCAACCCTGGGGAAAATATTTTCTCTACATCCCTTTTTCTTCCACACCCCTATTAGCACAAAGTAAGGAGGAAAGACTGCATCTTCTTTGTTCCCCAGCTCCTGCCTTCCCCCCAGTTATGCGCCCCGGCGAACACTTCTTCACCATTGTATGAAAACACCTTTGAGGCTCACAGTCTTGTTTTATCATTGTATGCCCTGCTTATGATGTCCTCCACCAACTACCTAGTTGGTTTTCTCCAGTCTTTGAAGACTTTGGTTTCTGGCTCAGTCTTCCTTTCTATTCCCAGGCTCAGCTATCAAGCTGCTGACTCTATGTGTTCACATAGATGATTTTTTTAAAAAGATTTTATTTATTTATTTGACTCAGAGAGAGGGAGCACAAGCAGGGGGAGTGGCAGACAGAGGGAGAGGGAGAAGCAGGCTCCCCGCAGAGCAGGGAGCCCGATGCAGGGCTCGATCCCAGGACCCCGGGATCGTGACCTGAGCCTAGGGCAGCCGCTTAACCAACTGAGCCACCCAGGGGCCCCTCACATAGACAATTTATCCAATACTAGATGGTCGGTCATTTGTAGTCTTCCACCTTGTTTATATCAACCGCCCACTTCTGGGAAAATGTCCTGGATCTTGTCAGACTGCTTAACCTTTGAATTCTTAAATTCAAACCCATACTTTTTTTACTGTAACCTAAGTTGTCCCACTTTACCTGTTTTATTTATTTTACTGAGGCTGTAGTCTCTCTTCTTATCTGAAATATATCCAGCTCTAGAGAATTGCTTGGATGCACTCTCCAGTTCTTTACCTTCTTCCTCCCCCTCAGTCATAGGATTCTGACTTCCACCACTAACATCCCACTGACACTGCTCTTGCCAGAGCCATCAGGGACATTCCTGCTGCTAAATTTAACAGACTCTTCCATCTTTTTTGAGATTTGTACATGTAGCACTTATGCACTCCTTCCCTTTTTCTCTGCGTACTTTTCACAACTTCCTAAATCCATTCTGGCTTGTTTCGTTCTACCTCAATGACTAAATTAGAGTTAAGGCTCAGTTGTTCTGTTCTTATTCTGCAAACTCCCTTGGGCCAGTTCAACCAGCCCTTTAACTCCAATTACCATCTAATATTAATGAACTCCACTTACATGTGCTGCAGCCACTTCAAACTTGACAAGTCCAAAATTGAATTTCTCCTTTTCCCCGCAAAGAGCCACCTCCTTCTGAATTTCTTAGTTTAGTGATGGTACCACCACCACCCATCCGTCTGGTTTCAAGACAGAATCCTGGACAACATCCTTGACTCTCTCTCCCTCCACCCACACCTAAACCAAGTACCACATCATATTGATTCTAGTTCCTGAATATCTTCTAAGTCACTCCAGTTCCCCCTATTTCCTAGTTCAGGATACCATAATATTATGCCCCATTTACAGTAATCGCTTTCCCCTAGTATGATCTCTCTTTTCCAAACCTTTCAACTCACTATAGTTCAGGCGATTATTCTAGAATGTGTACCTTACTTCATGTCTTACCTGATTAAAACCCTTTGATGGCTCTCTCACTGCCCTCAGGATAAGGTTGAACTCTTCAGTGATTCCCAAGGCTCTTCATTCTCTAGTTCCAACTGACCTTATCAGACCTCTCTCCTTACAGCTTTTGGCATTTGGATAATTTCTGGACACGTCCAGATCTTGGCTTGCTCCTTGTACCCTCTGGAAAATCTTCCTAGAAAGCTTCCTTTTGTGGTCCTTCAGAGTTGCCTCCACTTATCCCTGTCATAGGGCTCATCTCAATATACTATAATAGTTCATTTATCAATTTGTTTCTCCACTATATTATAATAGCAGGGTCCTACTCAATTTGCCTGTTTCTCTTTGATGCCTGTCACAATGACCAGACAGTATATGCTCAGAAGTATCTGTTAAGTGAATGACCTTAGATAAGTCACTTAGCCTCTCTGAGCCTCAACTGCATCGTCTATTAAAAGGGAATAATGCGCTGCCTACCACATAAGGTTGTTTTGGGGTCTTGTAAGATAATAGGAATGAAGTTTAACATAGTAGTTAAGAGTGTGAATTCTGGATCTCTACTATGTTTTTAATCCTAGCTCCTACCATATTACCAACTGTGTGACCTTGGACAGGTTACTTAACTTTCCTGTGTTTCAGTTTCTTCTTTGGTAAAATGAGAATAACCACATTATCTGCCTCATAGTTTTGTTGTGAGGACTGAGTGAATAAATGGAAAGCCTTTAGGACAGTACCTAAACACACAACAAATGTTAGCTATTAATTATATTTTTATTTATAGACTCTAAAATTATACTATATGGTGTATATTACATATATACACATGTATGGCATCAATTATTAGTTTAAAGTTTTATGGAGGTGAAAGCTTGGTACCATACACTTAATCTCCTTTTTCTTTTATCTTTTAGAATAACGTCATAGCAATACCAGAGAGTTTATTTCCCAAGTCTTAAATTCAAATTGCCATAGTTGATTTACATGAAATTTTTGTTAAAAAATCTTTACATTGTTCATTATAAAAAGAGCATTTTTGAAAATGTTTCCTTGCTGAATCCCAAAATGTTTTTTGAGTCTGTTACATTGTAGGTGGATGTTAGCACAGAAAAACATTTAAAATATTTATTTCTTTTTAATTTTTATTTTTTTAAAGATTTTATTTTTGTAAGTAATCTCTACACACAACATGGGGCTTGAACTTAGAACCCCAAGATCAAGAGTCACGTGCTCTACCAACTTGGCCAGCCAGGCATCCCAGCACAGGAAAAACATTTAAGTAAGAAAGATTGCTGGTTTAATTTGTAAAGGACAATATTATGTCTTTGACACTAACTTTATTTCTCAACATGATTTAATTACATAACCAATTCAGTGTTTGGTAAGTACTAATTCCATTAAATCTGCATTCAAGGAGGAAAAAAAATACAAAGGCATTTAGTTTTGTGCTTATGTGTTCACCTGAAAGAGATTTGCTCAATTTTATGAAAAAGTCCTTTTTAATTTGATTAGATAATATGCATTTGTGTATTGACTTTGGACCAACAAGTGCTTAATTTTTATTCTTTTTCTGATTCTTTTTAGAGTTAGTGGTTCCAGGATTTTATTCAGAATGACTTTAGGAAGAGAAGTGATGTCTCCTCTTCAGGCAGTGTCTTCCTATACTGCGGCTGGCAGAAATGTTTTAAGATGGGATCTTTCACCAGAGCAAATTAAAACAAGAACTGAGGAGCTCATCGTGCAGACCAAACAGGTGTACGATGCTATTGGAATGCTTGATGTTGAGGAAGTAACTTATGAGAACTGTTTGCAAGCACTGGCAGATGTAGAAGTGAAGTATATAGGTGAGTGGGATGCAGAAACACCTTGATAGTTCATTTTGTAGGCCTCATAACCCATCTTATGCATTCTGTTTGGGCAGTCCATTTTCCAATTTTACAAGACATTGATTTTTCCATAATCATTAATTAATTGCCTAGAATTGAATTAAGTAAGATTAAAATGTTTTTATTATGTTGGCAGAGGTGCTACGAAATGTATCTTCTCGTTACAACTGCTTTCTAGAGAGTATTTTGACATAATAAATCAAAACTCTTAAGAAGTTCATATCCTAGCCCTGCAATTCCACATCTAGGCATTTAATCTAAGGAAATAATCAGATACAGGAAAAATTGTATATGAATTCATGTTTAAACAGGTACTCTGTCATAGCAAAAGCTTGGAAACAACCCCTGGGTGCCAACCAGTAGAAAGGCCAAATAATGATCCATTCAGCCTCTGCAACACTATGTAGCCATTAAGATCATGTTAAGGAACAGTGTTTAATAACATTTTTAAAAAATCACAGAGAAGGAAACCAGAAGAAAATACACAGATTTAAATAATAGCTAATTTCTTGAGTATTAGGTTTACAGTTGATTTTTAAAAATTCTTTCTGCTTTTCTCTATTTTCCATATTTCCTACACTTAAAATATATTATCTTTGTAATATAAGTATTAGGCCCTTTGAGTTAAAAGGAATGAAGATTCACGTCAGTTGCCCCTAAGGGTTAGGTGTACTCTCGAGTGTAATTATGACTAAGCAACCTTGGCCATGTATCCAGGCTTTGTAAGAACATAGGTTATCTGTAGAATTGGATATCATAAACATTTGTATGGATTCTGGAATTTGGAAGGTTGTCCAGAATCCTGCACAGCCCTAGTGACGTAGTCCTCTCTTTACCCCCATCAGCCCCTCATCACCAAGAGTTCCCTTCCCTACGTCCCACCGTAATAGGGACTCTCTTACCTCTTCTGTTTCATTTTCTGCCTCTTACCACCACCTGCTTCACTCTGATTAATGGCCACTAAATCTGGCTAAAAGTCTTGAGTTTAAACTGCTGAATAAAAAAGACCTGGTTGGTCTCATTAGTCAAAGTCAGAGGGATAGGTGGGGCGCCTGGGTGGCTCCATCTGTTGGGTGTCTGCCTTCAGCTCAGGTCATGATCCCAGGGTCCTGGGATCGAGCCCCGCATCCAGCTCCCTGCTCAGCGGGAAGCTTGCTTCTCCCTCTCCCACTCTCCCTGCTTATGCTCTCTCTCTCTGTGTCAAATAAATAAATAAAATCTTAAAAAAAAAAAAAAAAAAAAGAGGGATGGAATTGGTCCCCATTTGGCAGAGTTTTCCCAGAAGGCAGCTTCATGTGTATCTCCCTCCCTGTATATGGTTTTGTCCTTTGTTCAGAGTGTCAGTTCTTCAGTCACATATGGCCAAGATGGTATGCCAGCCTGGTGACTTACGCATTTAACAAATATAGAAATCAGTGGGGAAAAAACAAAATCTTTTTAAAAATTATCTTAAATTCTGCCTCTTCCCCAATAATACATCTTTTTTTTTTAAAGATTTTATTCATTTATTTGACAGAGAGAGAGACAACAAGAGCGGGAACACAAACAGGGGGAGTGGGAGAGGGAGAAGCAGGCTCCCTGCCGAGAAGGGAGCCCAATGTGGGGCTCGATCCCAGGACCCCAGGATCATGACCTGAGCCGAAGGCAGATGCTTAACGAGTGAGCCATCCAGGCACCCCCCCCAATAATACATCTTTTGGATATACTTTTAGTTGTCTGGTATTCTTGCTATCCCATAAGTTTAGCTTTTTGAGTTAATCATAAAAATTTTTGAGTTTAGGAGTAGCTGTTTTTTAAAAGACTAACTTTCTCTTATCAATACATATTCTCAGAGTTCGATCTGCCTCCTGCAATGGCTGTTAAAACCTCATTTGTCTAGTGTCAGGTACTGTTTATAGTTTGGCAGTGAGAACATAAATCTGGTTCAGGTCTTTGTGGCAAAGTAAGGAAGGAAATGGTTCGTTTAAGAATATGTTAACGGGGTGCATGGGTGGCTCAGTCGTTAAGCGTTTGCCTTCGGCTCAGGTCATGATCCCAGGGTTCTGGGATCGAGCCCCGCCTTGGGCTCCCTGCTCAGCGGGGAGCCTGCTTCTCCCTCTCCCACTCCCCCTGCTTGTGTTCCCTCTCGCTGTGTCTCTCTCTGTCAAATAAATAAATAAAATCTTTAAAAATATATATATATATGTTTCCAATTTTAGGCTCCTGCATTTTGTTCTCTTCATTTTAGTTCTGGAGCAATTTTGATTTTTTTCTTAATATCTTCTTGAGCTAATTTTAAAAAGTAAACAAATTGTAACTATATAGTTAACTCTATCAAACAAGTGCTGTGTATATGAAATTTTAATTCTGTTCCATTCTTTCTTTAATCAAGAGACATAAAAGTGCATATTTTACATGAAATACTTAAAAGAATAATTATTTAACTTGATTTTTAAAACCATACCTTATGAATTTATTCAGATATTTTAGGCAACTTTTTATAGCTTTATTTGTAGCAATGTTCGAAGAGGACTGACATAAGTGAGGTAGCTTGTTTAACTAGACAATTTCTTGGTATGTTCTACTCTCTACTGTGTATCACATGTGGAAGTTTTACCTCTTTAGAATACCGTCCAAGTACTAAAGACAACAAACATGTATTCACTGTCACAGCATAGCTGCAACCATCCCTACAAACCATACTCATTTTTTTCCTGTAAGATGGGTTATTTTACTGACATCAGATTTTTGCCCAATTAAAGTCAAAATACAAATGTATGAAAAACCCAAGAAACAATTCTAATATGTGAAAATTAGAGCAGACTGCATTACCACCATCATGTAACAGGAATAGCCCCAATATTGAGCTGCTTACTGGATGTGTCCACTGAGATTTCTGGGAATCTCCTGTAACTGTATGGAACTTTTTTATGCTTGTATGAATGTTAGCATTTGGGGGAGGGTTTTTGATGTGATTCTCTAAGGAATCTGTAGTAAAGGTTAAGAATTTCTATTCTAGGGCGCCTGGGTGGCTCAGATGGTCAAGCATCTGCCTTCGGCTCAGGTCATGGTCCCAGGGTCCTGGGATCGAGTCCCGTAAGGAGCCTGCTTCTCCCTCTGCCTCTCTCTCTCTCTCTCTCTCTCTGTCTCTCATGAATAAATAAATAAATAATCTTTAAAAAAAAAAAAAGAATTTCTATTCTAAACAAACCCCTCCCACTAAATTGGTCTGCCTTTTTCTTTTTTCTTTTTTTTTTTTTTTAAGATTTTATTTGTTTATTTGACAGAGAGAGACACAGCAAGAGAGGGAACACAAGCAGGGGGAGTGGGAGAGGGAGAAGCAGGCTCCCCGCGGAGCAGGGAGCCCGATGCGGGGCTCGATCCCAGGACCCTGGGATCATGACCTGAGCCGAAGGCAGACCCCTAATGACTGAGCCACCCAGGCGCCCCGGGTCTGCCTTTTTCTAAAACATCCTCTGTCTCTTCCAGTCCTCGTGCTTGTTCTAGTCTCTCCTCCAGTCCTCTCCTGAGATCTTCCTCTTACCCTGCCCATACTAAGGTCCAGCCTTCCCCATGAGGCATTATAATAGTGCTCTAGTTCTTAGCACTGCTGTCTTTGAGTTACTGTCCCATTCATTGACAAGTAAGCTGCTCTATCCTGTGTTGTTCTTTATCTTTTCACAAACTATTCCGTACTCCCACATCCCAGACTATAAAACGCGTCACTATGAGAACTATGTCTTTATCCTTCTGCATTCCCAGTTAATAAATTACACCCTAAATATACTTTGATAAGTGCTCAGTGTACACCCTTATTGTCCCTAATAATGCCAGTGCCACAGCCAAGTCCTGCATTAGATGCTGTTTCTTGATAGCCTTAGGAACCTTTACAGAAAGTATAAAATGAAAAGTTAAATTGGGATAATCATTCATCTAGGTAGGAGGTATTTTTCTTAGTACTGATTTGATGAGTCCTTATGGTTTTTTCCTCTATTGACAGTGGAACGAACCATGCTAGACTTTCCCCAGCACGTCTCCTCTGACAAAGATGTACGGGCAGCAAGTACAGAAGCAGACAAAAGACTTTCTCGTTTTGATATTGAGATGAGCATGAGAGAAGATATATTTCTGAGAATTGTACATTTACAGGTAAATGACATTATAAATCCCTTTAAAGATTTATTTATTTGAGAGAGCAAGAGAGCGCACACATGTGCGTGCAAAAGGGGGGTGGGGTCAGAGAGGGAGAGAGAGAATCCCAAGCAGACTCCCTGCTGAGTGCAGAGCCCTTCATGGGGCTCGATCTCACAATCCTGAGATCATGACCTGAGCCAAAATCAAGAGTCAGAAGCTTAACCGACTGAGCCACCCCAGCACCCTAACATTATAAATCCCTTTAAAAGAAAAATGAAATCTACTATAAAAAATAAAAATCTTTGACCAACAGTAAGAAGTATTTGAAAATTTCTGGATTTTGTTTCTAATTATTATATTAATGGGCATAGCGTAGTATTATATATTGGGTTTTTTTTAGTGTTATAGATTGTTATACCACATAGGTTTATGTTGAATTGCCAGTTATATTCACTTAACACTGAAGACCAAGTGTAAAAGAAGTGTACATCTATAAATTTAAGGATTTTTAACCATCATGAACGTAATGGTTCAATGTAAAAACCTCTTAGAATTTTCAAAATGTTGCAGGGTTTATATTAGATCAGGTCAGCTACAAGCATATGGAATTGTGAGTTGTTTATCTGCAAATATCATGTGGTTTTGGCCATGATATTGATGACCTAACTGTTGATGCTGCACACATCATTCCTGTACATTTTTCAGGACGCACAGAAATGATGGCTAATGAATGTTTTAGGTGGGTCTGTCTTGAATGTTTTGGTTTTTTCATTACCAATGTTGATTTGCTTCCTAGAGTTTCATTATGTCTTTGCTTTGAATTTTTATTTTCATGACGCTCAGCAGTTTGTTAGGAAAACAACCATTTTTTTATAATCTTAGACATTTTTTTTAATTTTGCATGTGTCTTTAATGCAAAACCTCAAAAATTTTGTTCTTTTTAGCAAATAATGGCAAGAGTTTAAATAAAAAAGCAGTTTTATTTCAGATGTTTTATATGTAACTTACTAAAGAATATGTAATCAAGACTTTATTTAGACATGTAAAATGTTCGTGCTATCTGTCCTCATGTCAAACAGGCACTCTTCCCCCTGTAATTTATATTCGTCTCTGTGGTTCATAACTGTTCATCTCTAGCACTATAAAAATAACATAAATTGTAATAACTGTTACAATGTAACAGTTATATTGTTACATTGTTTTATTCTTTTGACCCCAGTTATTATTCTATGTGATTCAAATCATGGCCCTTACAGTCTCTATTTTTTTTTAAAGATTTTATTTATTTATTTGTCAGAGAGAGAGAGAGCGAGCACAAGCAGTGGGAATGGCAGAGGGAGAAGCAGGCTCCCTGCTGAGCAGGGAGCCCGTTGCAAAATTCGATTCCAGGACCCTGGGATCATGACCTGAGCCGTTGCAAAATTCGATTCCAGGACCCTGGGATCATGACCTGAGCCGAAGGCAGGCAATTAACCAATGAGCCACCCAGGTGTCCTTACAGTCTCCTATTTCTTATTTCATCCCCCCAAAATCTAATTTCCTTTCTAGCTCTATATTATATATGTATTTTAGAACTTTTTCCCAGAATTTCTAATTTCCTTTGATCAACTCTGTTTTCATTCTGACATCTAAGTTTTCATTTGGGACTTTCTAGCCTCAACAAGGTATTGCAATCTTAATGTTATACATCCTATCTAATGCTTTTCTCTGATTTTTATGAATATTATCACAATATGGGAGGTTTGTCACTTTAGATTTCTGTTACACTTTTAAATTTTGTATATATTGTGATCTGATCCCATTAAATTGGGAATAAACTGCTGCCTGTATAGTATACTAGTGTTCCATGCCAACTAGATGCCAGTGGATTCATAATATTTGTTCATTTGTTTGGGCAGGTTCACTTCAGCGTTTTATTGTGATAATTTACAGTAGTTGCAGAATTGTTTCCATAGTTTTTACTTTTTCCCAAAAGAGTAATTAATTATTACTATACATGTCGATTGTTGTGTGACCATTTTTAAAAGCTTTTACAATGTCTGTTAAGGCTAGATCAGAATAATAAAAAATAGCTGTTGTGGTTTTTTTAATGCACTAAAGCTTATTTAGTGAATTTAGTTACCTTCAAACACCTTCCTTGACAAATAGTTGTGTTTATTTAAGCAGTATTTATTTTATTTTATTTTATTTCTTGTATAGTTAACATACAGTGTTAAATTAGTTTCAGGTATACAATATAGTGATTCAACAATTCTATATATTGCTCAGTATTTAGGCAGTATTTTTTAAGATCTGAAACTATCAGTATGAGCTTTCTGGTAGCATTGGACACTTTAACAAATGGTAAATCTCATCCCATTCATAATTAAAAGACAAAGTTATGGGCACCTGCGTGGCTCAGTTGGTTAAGCGTCCAACTCTTGATTGTGGCTCAGGTCATCATCTCAGGGTTGTTAGATCAAGCCTCAAGTCAGGCTCCATAGTGGAGAATCTTAAGAGAATCTTAAGAATCTCTCCCTCTGCCCCTCCCCTCCACTTGCTGTGTGTGTGTCTGTCTCTCAAAAAATAAATTAATTTAAAAAAAGACAAAGTAGGGGCACCTGGGTGGCTCAGTCGTTAAGCATCTGCCTTCAACTCAGGTCATAGTCCCAGGGTCCTGGGATCGAGCCCCACATTGGGCTCCCTGCT